CATTGTTTCCAACGTGTGAACGTTGCTTCGTCTCTTCTAGCGCGTGAACCATTTTTGGACAGAATTGTCACCGGTGATGAAAAATGGATTCTGTATACGAATATTAATCGCCAAAAACAATGGCTCAGTCCTAGACAAAAACAACTTCCGACCCCCAAACCTGGACTCCTTGACGACCTAATAATACCCACTTAGTGTGTTACAATAATAACCCGCAAGCTTGAGTAAAAAAAAAAACGAAACTTGACAACAAATATTTATTTTTCAACTTTCGCGCCCCCCAGTGGCACAGCGGAATGTCTTCGGACTTACAACGCAGTATTTAGTATTGTTTGAGAGAAAACATTTTAATGATTAATGGTATAATTAATTATATTTGTCATAAGACATCATTATCAGGTCTATTAAATTTTTACACTACATTCTATATTGAGTGAAATGTAATTGATGTGGAGAACATAGTGTGTTTGAAATACTATTACACATTCTACTTGTTCTTAAGAAACCCTCAGAAACTGAATAAAGTATGCAGTGTTAAAAATATAATAGGCCTAATTAATATTAATGTCTTATGACGAGTATAATTAATTATAATAACGCTTCGCCATAATATTCAAATAATGAAATAGATAATTTCTCCATTCACGCTGTTAATAACTTATTCTGCTTCTTTTAAACGTCTAATAAAATATCTTTATAATAAATTTATTATTATGAATTTAATAGCGCTAGTTTAATTATCACGGTATGACTAGTAATAAAATGGAATTATATAACTTTCAACAGTGTTAACTTGGTTCCTTGCCTTGTTTTCATAATTAATAATATTGGGGAAAGATGTATTTTTGTCGGTATCATAACATTTGTCGTTTTCTACACGTTATTAAAAAAATTGAAAACCAGCATAATCAAGTAATGTACGCCAGCCTGTTTGTTCGATAAACATGACAACTGTTTATATGTAGGCATACTCGGATCCCTGTGAAATGAAGGGTGGGAAAGTTCGTGTAATTCAAATTTTATGAGGAGAATTAGCATATTTTCTGCCTGAATTTTGAAGTTAAATAACATAATTCAAACAGCTCGAGAAAGAAAACCAAGAAAATAGTTTCATTCGAAACATGTTAATTAAGAAAGAAGCTTTTTTTTTTCCCTCTCTTTATTTTTTAGAGAAGCTCACCAATGACTTACGGTAATTCAGAACTCTGAATATTGATTAGTACTGGGTTAAACTTTCTCAGAAACTCATCAATGACGTAATATGATTCAGAACTCTGAAGAGTGATTTGCGACGTGTCGAACTTTTTCAGAAACTCACCAATAAAGTATTGTGACTCAGAATTCTGAAGATGATTGATGACAAGTCGAATTTTGTCTGAAACTCACCAATGAAATAAAGTGATTCAGAGCTTTGAAGGTTGATTGGTGACAGGGGCGGATTGGCCTA